CAGCAGGCCAGACACACAGAAGAGCTAACAAAACCATGAGCAGCATCTTCCACAGCTGACCCCTCCCCAAAGACCCTTGTACCATACTGAGGACACGGAGGGGACCTACACCTCTCCACACACTGCCTTCCTACCAATAAGGAGCCTGGCTCTCTGAGCGCCGCCAGGTCTGCAGGTGAGAAAGGACCAGGGCGGCAGCCCGAGAGGTGCCAAGACGCTCCCAGGCCCCGTTGGCACTCTTCACGGCATGGGAGGGTGGGCGGGTCACGCCCACATGGCAGATCTTGTAGTTCCTCCCGTGGTTGTTGTCCCAGTGGGTCTTCTGGCCGCACTGGAAGGAGATGCAGAACTCTGTGGCCCTGCGGGAGACGGATGGCTTGGGCAGGGCAAGCTCAAAAGAGAACGTGTCTGTGTCGGCTGAGCCGTACGTGCTATGCATGTACTGGCAGGAAATGTCCCGGAAGCTCTTCCAGCCATCGAAGGTGATGCGGACCATCACTTTCTTCTCGTACTCGATGTTTCTGACCTTCACTGTCCCTGACAGGGTACGGTCCTGGATCAGGCAGTTCTCCAGGCAGACAAGGTTGCTGTGTAGGCGGCTGCGGAAAGTCATGTAGTCCACAGAGGGCTGTGGGAAGTCCAGCACGTACCTGCACACCTCTGGGCGTGAGTCCCGCAGCCTAGGTCGGAAGCAGGCAAGGTCAGACAGGGCATGCTGCAAGTCACAGAGGTCCTCCTCAATCTTTGAGAAGAAGCGGACAGCTGTCAGCGAGAGCCCCTTCATGTCAGCAAACACGACTCTCTTCTTCTTCTGGCCCTTGGAGCTCTTGGTGCTATCTCGCCGCTCAGGTTCGGGTTCTGCGCTCAGCTTCTGGTTGAGACAGGATCGGAGGGGTTTGCGCCCCCGGTTGCCCCGCAGCTCCTCATAGGAGTTCAGCAGCTTGCGGATGGGGGGTGAGTGGCTCAGGCAGAGCTGCACGGCCAGGTCCACGGGCATGGCTGGGGGGGCGATGGCCCGCGCTCTGTACACCTGGAAAAGCCTAGAGGCGAAGAGGGGGTCAGGCGGTGTCCCCAGCTG